TTAGCCAATCAATATTTTCAAGACAATCTTCATTCTTATGTTTCAGGCCCTTGTACCTAACTACCAAATAGACATCTTAAGCTAAACACATCCTTTCATGTTATTTTTTCTTATACTGTACTTTATTTTTTATTATTGTGCTGGGTCAAGATATATCCTTTCATTTTAAATTCTACAACAACTTTTCACTGGTTCAGAAGGACCTGGATCTGAACTCCCAGGTTTCATGTCTCCCTACCACTCATGGTCTGTGCATCTGGACCTCTATGTACTGAATGTGGAGGCTACAAAAGTAGAAATCCTTCTGCTTCCTCTTTCTTCTCATAGTCCACCTACTTATCCAGTTTGTTACCAGCTACCAAAGCTCTACTTCTACAAACAGTTCTCATCTCCACAACTGTACTTTGTCCAACCTCATAACCCTTAGTTTGCCACTCCTACTTTAGCTTTCTACATAGCCTGTCCACTTTCATTTTATTCTTCTCTCCATCTGCCTCTGCCATGCAGCCAGAATGAACATTTGCTATTCCAGATGTGACTATGTCACTGCAGTGTTTAAGCTCTGCCATTGACTTAGGATAAGAGCCAATCCCTGGCTCAGTCTCCCACCATTGTTGCCTTTGGCCATCTGCACTCCAGCCAAACTATCCCTCAGTCACATCCACCATAGAGACTTACCAGGCATTTTTTTTTCTGTTGCTGTGAAGATTAATACACTTGTTAACTTCTATTAATGTCAGTTTACCTTTCAAATCTTTGCTTATGAAAGACCTCTGTGACTATACAGGTGTGCTGAAATACTTCCTATGATAGTCTTATACCACTGTATTTTTTCTCTACTTTGTAATTATAAATTTATTTGCATCATTATTTGACAAGTAACTCTCTACTCCTAACAGACTATAAGCTCCAAAAAGCAGTAAACTAGGTTTTTGGGTTTTTTTGGTTTTGGTTTTGTCTTTGTTTTTGTTCCCCATGGTATTACCAATATAATGAATCTAGTAGGTGTTCAGTCAATATTTGTTTAATGAGTTAATTGTCTCTACAACCACATGAAAGGTAGAAAACCCAAAATAAGTACTGCTTTTGAACTTCTCTAAGTATATTAAAATCAAGCATATATTTAGTTGTATCAAGTTGGATACTTTGCTTTCTTTGGTAAATATCCTTTAAATGTTCATATTCTATGAAAAGAGAATGCTGTATCATATATTGAATATAAAAATGTCATATTTATCATGTTTTACTGTCTGTTGCAAATCAAATTTAATGAAGATAAAGTATTTCAAAAATGACAAAACTAGTTGTAAATTATTCAGGGTCCAACAATATATGTTTACAATGCTTTGTTTACAGTTTTCAAAAAGTTTAAATTGCCAACATTATCCTTTATTTGTGCTCTTATATTTTAAAAGACAGAGAGACAATCTGTGGCAAATCATATTTGTTTGGTTTAGATCTCTGCTAAGTTACACCTGAAATATACTTATTCCACTTGGAACTGGTTCCTTATTATCATCCCATAGGGTCAGGTGACTGTCTCTTTCTTTGCCTGAGGAGTGCTTCACTGTCATTTAGATATACAGAATAGGTTGTGTTTGAAGATGACCCTTGAGAATATCATATAAATGATTAGATCTGAAATTTAATTTTAGCAGGAAATTATATGAGTCTGCAAATGTGAAGGTGGATGGCATTTAAGCAATGTTTTCTATTCAGTAGTTAGATTTGCTCCATTAGATTCTAGCTTTAACATAAAGAAGGCAGAAAATGAAAGACACTAGTAATATCCAGCCAAGAAAATTATGTGGAGATCTTAAGATGCACAGTGAGAACTGCTTGAGTGAAAGCAAGGAAGTAACAATGTCATTGTTCAGAAGTAAATTAATGCATCCCTAATGGTAACGCATGCTACCTAGACAGAAATACTCTAAAAATCAAAAATAAAACTAGAAAAAAAGGAAAAGAAAAGAAAGACACTAGTCGAGTGAACTTACATATATAAAAAATGAAAGGTAATCAAAGATAAGAGAGATGTAAAAATAAGAAAATCAAAGACAGAGAATGAAAGGAAGACTCTACAACATATTAGGATAAATGAGAAGATATTTTTCCAATTCTCAATGGACAAAATAATAGTGAATAAGAGGGAGGGTTACTAATAAAACACAGGAAGAACCAAACTGAATCTAACAGAATGTTCCTATCTGGGAGTATTTAGCATTCATCTGTCACATTATTAACAGCCTGTCCTGAGTATACTTGTTTTGTTGTGACTTTCACTTTTATGATGATATCACAATGACCTCACTATCACTCACCATTACCCACAGGTGAGGGAGCATTTGTCATGAATTTCCTTTATGAAGTCTGTCATGGGCTAGCTGTGACCAGGGTAACTCTTCAACTTAACTACTGTATAATGAGACATGATTTTAAAAAATATATATGGATGATATTCTTCTATGGACTTTGAAATGTGTTAATTTGCTAAAAGCCAAGCTTACATGTACACTTACCATACTATACAAGTTGGAGAAATTTTCTCCTCCCACTGCCAGGTTTTGACTTCTTCATGAATTTTCCTAGTCTTCCTGGGTGCTAACCAAATATAAAATAGCATTTGGCATAGATAAATTATAAAACTGGAAGACCATAAATTTGTGTTTTGTCCCTAATTCCCTACATGTGATTTCTGGTAAGTCATTTAACTACTCCATTTTTTCACTTTCATCTATGTAAAAATAGGAACCATATACCTCTAAAGGCAGGAAGGGTAAATGAGAACCAAGAAAGAAGGACCTCTGCATAGTCATATAAACCCAGTATAACTGAAGCTGACACATAGCCCATTGTTTAGAGTGTTTATCCACATTAGTCAATGCTTTGGGGGCCAGGAACATAGCTCCTTCCTGGAGTATAGCCCTGTGAGGACTCTGCCCACCTTCTACTTGTAGCCCAGCTCTGGCCAGCATGGAAGTCGGGATGTAATCATAGGCTCAGCTTTGAAGTACCAAGAAGCCAGTGGCATGTGGTTGTGATTGTAGGACTTCATGCCTGGCTCTCCTTCAAGCCCTCAGCTGTAGCTCTTGAGCAGCAGCTTCCTAGGAGGCCCTGAGAAATGCCTGGGAAACTGCTCAACCAACCACATTTGCTGGCAACCATAATCCTGGGCATACAGTCATTTTGAATGGCATTGGGAATCTTCCAACAGTCTTCAGAACTTCAGTGGTATTGAAGCTGGTTTGATTATCATTATGCCAGTCAATCACCTAACATCTTTGATTCCCTACAATTTGCCAGGCCCTATACCTGGCACACTCAGGAATAAAAAGAGATATGACAGAATCCTTGTATCCAAGGATAGAGATTAAATAGATATGGCAAAACACCTCATAAAGTAACTACCCATTGTAGTAAGAATGGTGGTGTTGCTAGTTGAAAATTCTTAAGAAAGGAGAGCATGTTCTAAAATAGTCAGGACATCTTTACAGAGAAGTTGGAGTTGGAATTGAAATTTGAAGGCTGGATTTATTTTGAATACGTGGATATAACTCAAGAATCAATAGTACAAACAAAATATTTTTTGAGAAAGAAAGATAGGAAAGAAGAATGGTAATGAGTATGGCAAGGTTCCTTAGGAAAACTGTTGTTTAGGTATCTTTGCCTACATTCAGAGAATATTTGCTGCAAGTTAGACATCAAATCAGATGAACCAGTGGATTCATCTCTTTTTATCTTTGTAAGTTAACATTTGCAAGCTGAACATTGAGACGATAATAGTTATGCATTATATTCTACCTTTTTTGCAAAACCTTGAAAACTTTCATGAATTAAAGTTTTCTTGCTGCCCCCTCAGAAATAATAAAATGCACAGCAATTTCTGTAGCATTTCTTGTTGTGTTTTGTGCTAGTCAGACATTTAGCTTTATTTAAAATCCACTTATGTATACAAAAAATTTAATTCTCTGACCATGCCTAGAATGCAAAGACTCTGGCACAAGATCGTAGAGTACTAATACTCTGACAGCTTGGCCCTCATTCAAAATTATATTGAGGCAGTTTTTGATTCTCTGACTCATTATATATAGTTAATTGCTCACATCTTTTTATTAAAAGAGAAGTCCTACTTACATATGCATACACACAGAAAAATGAAGCGTAAACTTATGTCAACATGGTCCAAACCTTGTAGCATCTTAAAAAAAAATCCATCACCATTTGTATTTGACCATGCTATATCTTAACTGAGAACACATCAAACACCTTCTATTTTTGTCAATTGGTATTTTCAATGTGAACAAAAGTGAATGTGTTTGAGAATATTCTTCAGGAGGCAGGACAATTTGGGGAGTCCTATTTTATTTTGTTGACAGTGGTGTCTGGTTCTGTGATTAAGAACCATATTTCTGGTCATGTAATATGGGAACGTTAGCATTTATTCTCCCTTAATGTTTTACTGGCATCTTTGAAGTATTATAAAACAAGCATTTACTACTGAGTATCTAAGCACTTCCCTCTCTTTGTTTCTTTAATTAATGTATTGCTCTAAACTAAATCTATAAGATCAAGCTTATTGAGACAGACTGCCTATTCTTCCCTCAAGAGCTCATTGCTGCACTCCACATGTTTTCAGTAAATAAAATATGGACAAAATAGCAACATGTGGAAGCTGAAGATTCCATTAAAGACTTTGGCAAGAGTACCTTGAAGATATTTCAAAAATAATTGTGCTTTATCACTTCTTCTGTGCTATTGCATGTAACGAGGGTTTTAAAAAGACCAAATACAGCTCTCTGATTTCCATTTAATGGAAGAAGTAATAAAGTTTAATTGTATACTTGAGCACAGGGCATCATTTCCAGTACTTCTGATCAATAATTCATTGATTGCCTTTGGCTCAAAGTAAAATTTGAAAGAAAATGTAGCCAGTGGGAGCTGATCTAGCTGTTGCTTCATCATCTCTATTAATTATGCTTTTCCTGAATTTGGATCATTAGGCTACCAAAGTGACAGCAGATGGAGAACAAACAGGACAGGATGCTGACAGGACCAACACAAGAGCAAAGGCCTTGGGAGAATTCATCAAGGAGCTTGCTCAGGATGCAGAAGGTATTAGAAAAATCACATTTTAATCATTATTTCTCCGGACAGAGAAACAGAAGGATTACACAAGGCTGGAATTTATCTTATAAGAGGTGGCATTTTTAAATTCAAGGGTTGAGTTTTAAAAAGTATTTTGGTTAAGATATTCAAGAGCATTATCTGTTGAGAATGCACGACTGACAGCAGTTGGTGAGTTAACAGTTATGAATGCCCAAATAGGAGCAAATTCATGAAGAATGGCTATTATGGTTAAATAATTCATGGGAAACCTGTGCTTTGATATTTTTTATATTCAGAACTATTTATAATATTTTTAATTTTTCAAAAACCTAATTTTGTCATTCTACTTGGTATGTGAGAGCAGCTCTTTAGTTTGTCAAAGTGTCCTTTCAAATGCTTATTATGGGTTTGTTGTGAACATCTGTTGCTTGGATTTGGATGTGCCACTTTGCCAGAAGTTCCCCTGCATTTAGTTCACAATTCCCTAGGACTTAGTTCTTGGCATCTACGAATGTGATTGAAAAATAAAACGGAAGCCAATTTTGAGTAAAAGCCCAAATTAGAAATTCTTAATGAAAACAGATAATGCTCCCCACAAAAGACTACACTTAAATATCTACAAACATATATTAAACATACATGCATGGTAAAGTTTTTAAAAGTGTTTTTCCTTTAAAAAGTAAAACATTTTTATTGTTATACAAGGTTGTGCACTTTTGATATTTTGCTTTGTGAAATAGACAAATAAATCTGGATATGAGCTAACCTTCAAGGCAGATTCTGATGGCAATTCTTAGGCATGGCTGTCCAGGAAGAGACAGAAACAGATTCCCCACTGCAAGAAGCAACAAGCTTTTAATCTGAGGCCTATTCTGAAGTATAACCTGTCAAAATGTGAAAAAGAAGTTACCCCACTGAAAAAAATCTCAGTTAACTCACTAGATAAAATTGTTGTGCTTTCCCTGGTATTATTTTCTGTTTGTGCCATTTAAAAATCCCCCTTCCACAAAACAGCAGCAAATTCCATGACAAATAGAGGAGTTTCCCTCCATGTATATCCTTGAAGGTGCTAGTTAATACTACAGGAATTTTCCTTTCCTTCCATTTGAAATCAAACACTAAACACTCAACAGCTCATTCTGGCAAATAATTTTAAAGTCATTTTAATTAAATATCAGTGCATGAAAGTAAATGCTAATACATGCTGTAATAGACCCCAGTATCAGAAATGTTTACTTTCTTTTCTATACTGAGCTCTCCACCTCTCATAGAGATACAGATTTACTGCTACTCCTTGGATCAATGTGGATTTTATTTTTGTTTTGTTTTTCTGGATGCCTAAAGGCCTCTGGGTACTCACACAATTTGCAACACACAAAGGCACCAGTAGAGGGCACTGAGGAGATGGGACGTCACTCAGGCTTTCTTCACTGTCCAAATTCCGATTTTCACCAGACAAGCAGGATTACCTAGCACCAGAGGTATATCTCATTTCATAAATGGAGCATTGGTTGGGTGTTCTGATCATCTCTTTGGAGATGGGGCACTTTTTAAAAATCATGTGGAACAGCTGTACCTAAGGAAAACAGGAACACTACTCACTTCTGCCAACAGGCACTATTTGGCAGAATTAATGTACTTATTAAAATTTAATAAAAGTTTAAATCTGAATATACCATGGTACACTAAATTCTCACTGAGATGTGCTACAAGGCTAGGCAGTTAAGGGAAAAGGAATAGAGGAGGGAGGGAAAGAGAGGAAAATAGGGGGGAAAATGGAAGGAAGAAGAGAAGGAAATAAGTCACCAGAAACTTTAAATACATTATACAACACATCCACACTTTTTTTTTCCTCTTTCAAAACTAAAATAGGGATAATCATGAGTACTTTTACATTTTATTAGTGGCAGTAAATTGCTGTAGAAAAAAGTGAAGACCTCAGCCTGACATTTGTCTATTTCAAGTTTATGTTTAGATAATGAATACTCATTCTCCCTTCCATTATAAGTCAAGGCCTCTACCTTCCATTATAGGTCATGGCCTTTTTTATAGATAATCAGCTTCTATTCATCAAAACTATTCTTATTTCACTGTAATTTTATATTATCTATTGTGCTATGACTCAATTATATCATGAACAAACTATATTTTATTCTCTGCATTATTCGAATTAATGAGGAAACATGGATAAGCTCTGTTAGTGTTTATGCTCTGACATATACATGTGTGTGTATATATATATATATATGTGTGTATGTATATATGTATATATGTATAATAGCACTTAATCAAAGCTAGATACCCTTCTTTGCTGTTTCTTAAGTCAGAGTGGTATTTTTCATTCTTCATAAATTTCCCTATGACAGAAATTTTTTTCAGATGTAGTATGAAAAGCATCAATGTTCTTTTCTGAGGAATTATTTCACTGAATTCCTTAAGCATCCCACTATTCTCTGCTGTACATTGGCTACCACAATGCTTTGACTTGGGATCCAAAGTACTAAACATGCATTTCTGTCTAGTTATTCCTTTCCTGATTCACATTCATTTTACCCCTACTTCTTTACATTAATTGTACCTTGCTTTAAAGATATTTTAATACCTTAAATCGCTTTTTGAAATAAGGTGAAAATAAACAAGTTCAAAAGATATATCTATTCTACAATTATATTCAGTACTGTAGAAAATATATTGAAGGTGCAGTGTATACATTTGAATAACAGTCTAAATAACACATTCATCTTTAGTTTCAAAATATTCAGATGTTCCAATCCCACATGTCTAAGCAGGAAGGCAATCAGCTGTCTTCTATTAAATGATGCTTGCTTTCTTAATATAGCATCATTTTGCTAAGGCCATTTGTGAACCTTATTAATTCCTTCATTCTTCTTTTTCTTACATATATTTTTAATCTAAAGGAAATGATATATGCATTCTAAAAGATGCAGCCATTTTTGCCTATTCCTTTTCTCTCTCTAATGTTCTTTTTCAACCAAATTCTTCTCTGCAGAAATTTATCTTTGAGAATAGGCTATAAAAGAAGCAGTGAGATTATATTTTACATTCCTCCCTTCCTCAATACTACTTAGACCCGAAGCCTAAATTGTATCAAATTTTTAAAAATATATCCTCTATCAAAATATATTTTATCATTTATATTTTCATTTAATAAAGGAAAAACATGGCTTTGGTGGATTGGGGAGTGGAATTTATCACTGTCATTTTTGCAATTAATGCAAAAGATGTCTGTACTTACGTGCTACAACTGGTTAAAATTGCCTATACAGACAGATAATGCACTTAGACTGAAGGAGATAGCTTGTCGTAGCATAGCCTAATCTGCTACAGATACCAATTTTCTTGAAATCGTAGATGCAGAAACTTTTCATCTAATCCTTGGCATGCTGGCATTCTTTCCACATAGTCTACTAGACCAAAGAGCTTTCCAATTAATCATTCATGGTCAGTATGGTTCCATAACAAACATGACACTACATGACACCACCAATCTAAGTGGCTTTGTGGGCCAAGAAAAAGCCCACCTCACTAACTTCTAGGAGAAAGAGCCACCTCACTAACTTCTAGGAATATAGCACCAATGGATAATTTCTGCCAAAGGGTGAGGAGGTATGGCCATATTTATTTATTAAAATGTGATTCAAACTTTTCTGCAAATTAATTAATAGCTGTCTACTTTTGAGTTGCTATTGCAAAAAAATACAGACTTAGTGGGTTATAAACCAGTTTCACCCTTTGGGAAGTTGAGAGGTCCTAAGTCAGGCACTGGAACAGTTGGTATCTGGTGAAGACACATGTTCTGGTTCACAGATGGCCATTTTCTTGCTTAGCCTCACATGGTAGAAGGGTCAAGGAAGGTCTCTGCATCTCTTTTATCTACCTCCTTCCTGCCCTTAAGGTCTAATCACCTCTCAAAGTCCCAACCTCTAAATATCTTCACATGGAATTAAGTTTCCCCATAAGAATGTGGGGGAACATAAATCTTCAGTCTGTATCAACAGCTATCAGGAATAGAGATGACTGCAGCAATCTTTTAATCAAAGCCATTTATAAAGAAAAGAGAATTATAAAGCGGTATTCTGGAAGCCAGGAGCCAGCGGCCCACACCTGTAATCCTAGCTACATGGGAGGCTGAGACTGGGAGAATAACAGTGCTTGGCCAGCCTGGGTAAAAAAGTTTGTGAAGCCCCATTTCAGTGAAAAAATCTGGCATGGTGGCACCCGCCTGATATCCTAGTTACACAGGAAGTGTAAAATAGGAGGATTGTAGTCCAGGTGGGCCTGTGCAAAAGGCAAGATCCTATCTCCAAAATAATTACAGCAAAAAGGGCTAGAGGTGTGGCCTGTCTAGCAAGTACAAAATCCTGAGTTTAAACTTTAGTAATGAAAAAAAAAAAAGGAAGGAAAAGGTGTTTTGAGAAGGATAGGTTAGGCATTGAAAGTCAGTTCCTTCTTCTGCTAGCTGTGTGTTTGCTCCTCATAGTCCAGCATGATTCAAGAGCTCCTGGAGGGCTTGTTAGAACGTCAGACAGCGGGTCCTCCAAATCCCAGAATTTTTGAACCAGTAGGTCTATGGAAGGGCCTGAGAAACCACACTTTTAATAAGCCCCACGGGGCTACAGCTGCCACTTGGTGGGAGACCACATTTCAGAGCCACTGCACTCACCCATTAGCTTATATAACTCCACCCAGCTGCTCCACTTGCCCTGACTATGTGCACCTGTTTCAGGAGCTCTGACTGTGCAGATCTGAAGAATCTGTCCAGAAATGAATGCCTAGGATTTATTATATCTTTAAGAGGTCTTTAAATTGTAAAAAAATATCTCTTGGGCAATCCAAACTCCTCATTCTAGGAGTTTTCATAGGTAATTTTATAGAAATAAGTATTCAACAGACAAAGAGTTTGAGAAAATAACTCCTTTGAACTCACCAAATTAATGTCCCATAGCACACACTTCAGGAAACTTTAGTCTAAAAGTAATGGTAGAACTGTGTAAATGTTTTAATTCACCAATTTTTAAAACTTTTATTTGACACAGAATTCGTTTTCCAAATGAAATCTGGCCCAGAACACCAACCTATAAAACAGATTTTTGGCAGAGTAGACATCATTTGTAGAATACCTGAAGCAGCTGGAGACTCCTAATATTCCAAAGAGCACAGCTTGACACGCCATTTAATGCATAATAAACATGGACTACTACGATGGATGTTACTGCTGGGAGGTGTCTTTGAGACCTAATCTATAACCCTTGTCCCTAGACCAGTGCTCCTTTCCTCACTGCTTTAAAAAATGAATGCAAGAGGGCTGTGTGGAAATTCAAGGGCAGGTTCATGTTCAGAGATCCCTTCACTAATATTTTCTGCTCAGAACTTTAAAATTCTCTCAATGTGGCTGTCTTTTCAACAATGCAGATGACCTTTGTTCCTAGCTTCTGAGTATTTTCTACACATCTCATTTTCTGCCTCTTTGCTGAAGAGGAGTTGACCTGCTTCTTTACTTGTATCACTTCTGCTGAGAGTTACAACTCTATGCTTTAATTACTATGCGCTCCCCCACCCAGGAAATCTAATACAGAGAACTATGTCACGTATCCTCTTTCTTACTGATTGTTATAGTGACTGTCTCTGTTTCCCAGCAGGAACACCCCTGGCAAATTACGTTTCATTTGGAGGAAGTAGTGAAAGGCAGATGTTGAATGCCAGTGTTGTGTGTGACATTTTTGTTTAGTAATTTACAAACTTTATTTTACCCCCTGCAGCTGTAAATGAAAAAGCTGTAAAACTCAATGAAACTCTAGGAACTCAAGACAAGCCCTTGGAGAGAAATTTGCAAGAGCTTCAGAAAGAGATTGATCAGATGATGAAAGAACTGAGGAGCAAAAATCTAGACACACAAAAGGAAGTTGCCGAAGACGAGTTGGTGTGAGTAGATGCTCTATTATCTCCTTATTTGATAACCTGAGCTCTGAAAATTATTTCAGGTTTCTAAATTTTCCATCACATATATGAGCAGCATATACTTTATTTTTCTGACCTGGAAATTATGCTATTTTTTTTAATTTATTTGTTTAGTTATACCTTACCTCGCTCTAAAGTGAATTTAAAGCATGTTTTTCCCTATATAAAAATAATCATCAGTAAATGATCTTTTCTGGTGCTAGTCTTTCTATAATTAGGCCAATGGGTGTTTTTTTATTAATGGCCTGTATAAGGGACTTTTAAATTGAAAATATAATCTTACAATAACTTTTTTCACAGTGCAGGATCCTTTTACTGTATATTATTATTATTGTTGCTGTTGTTGTGCTAGGTGGGGGTACATTGTAGTATTTACAAAGATTCTTACAATGTATCAAATATGTCATACTTGAATTCCTCCTCCACTGCTCTTCCCCACCCCCCATCCCCTGATTCCTGGAACATTTTCAACAGGTATCACTTTTGCATTTACATACATGTGTATATGTTGTTTGCACCACGTTTTATCCTCCTATCCCTTTTCCCACCACCTCCCTGATACCCCCACCCATGCAAGCCTCCCCTTCGCCCCCCACCTCTGTTCTCCAATTTTAATAAATTTTAAAAGTAGGTTTTTGTTTTAACTTAGTCGGCTGCTTTCAGAAAGCAGTTTTACACTTAGTAGATAGTGAATCTGCTTTACATGTTTTTGCATGTTTTTAACCTTTTTTATGTTAGAATCTTTTTGTAATGCAGTTTGGTAACAGTAAACCCTGAAACAGTAACACTGTTGTCTGTACTTGGGTTGTTGGTGGGTACAGAGCTGCAGAGAGTCTTCTCAAAAAGGTGAACAAATTGTTTGGAGAGCCCAGGAGCAAAAATGAGGAAATGGAAAAGGAGCTCCAGGACAAACTGGCTGATTATAAGAACAAACTCGATGATGCTTGGGACCTGTTGAGAGAAGCCACAGATAAAATCAGAGAAGCTAATCACTTATCTGTTCTCAACCAAAAAAACATGACTGTTTTGGAGGTGAGTGTTAGGAGCCCTTTCATCGCAGCCTTGGGAATAGGAAGTGAGTTGAGAATAGCTAGAACAGTCAAATGGATGCATATTTACAAAGATCATGAATGACAACTCCAAAAGAGGCTTCTTAGACACAAATAGGTAATGATCCTCTATGTGTATGTATGTGTCCTTAATGACTATTTCCCAATGGATCAGAATTGAGATCACTTAGTTATCAAAGATTTTTAAAGGCAGTTTGGCACAGTGGAAAAAGCTCTTTCCTGGGAATCAGGGGACCTTAGTCTCAAACACAACTACGAGTCTAAATTGGATCAGTCAATTCACATCTCTAAGAATCAGTTCAACTCTATAATGAATACATTTTATTAGAGCATATATCTAGAATCTTTCTGGGTCCTAATTTGTGATTTTGCAATTCATCCAACTTAATCCACAAACCTGGTTCAGAAATCTGGCTGCAAAAAACCATGGACGTTCTCTACACTTTCTATGAAATCTGAGCACATGACAAGTCGCTCATTGAGATACCAGAGTTTGTAAAATCCTCATTCCCCTTCATTACAGTGTATTCCATGCAAATGTCATTTTTAAGGACTAAGATAAGCAAAGCAAGTATGAGTTATTTTTCCTCCTTTCTTCCAAACAGATCTACAAATATGGTAGGCTATTTTTCAGAGTGCTACTGAGTGTAGAACTAAACAGATTGTTCCATCATTTCTTCATTTTTTAAATTTATTTTGGCTTCTTCCTTGATCTTAACATGTAATTGATCACTTTTCCTAAGATTAAAATTAGTACACATGATGCCACAAACCTGTATTTGGTATTTAAACAATTTTCTCCCCATACACAAACCAATCTGAAAGGAGTGACAGATCTGTGCCTCTAACATTATTTTACCTTCAGGGATAACTCATTACCCAGAATATGCTGTCAAAAATATTTGCTCAATGACAATGAGCAAACCTGGGTTTTGTTTTGTTTTGTTTTTTATCTCCTCATCTCTCCATTTTCCTCTGAATTGAGAAGAGGATAAACTATATTTTTTAATTTTTTCTGGGTCACTCCTCTGGCATTTAGCTTTGTCGTAGTGGTAGAAAACTGGGGAAGCTCACGTTTTTCATAACTGATCAGTCTAATCTTACCCAATTTGGAGTCTACTGACATGCAAGCAATTTTCAAGAAAAAGCACCATCTGGAGAGGCAGGAGACTGGATGGCTGTCCCATCACAGCTCTAGCATGATTCATCTAGCTCAGTGACACACTGCTGGTATAATTTACCCAGAGGGGCACCTCTCCATTTTATGGCAACAGTTTAAGAAATTAAAATTACCTATGTGGAAAACATAATAAGCCTTTGAGAAGTATTTCAAGAAGAGTTATAGCAGCACAGTGAATGGTGCTTTCAGCTACTCCTTTCCTTAGTGATGTTTGAAACCAAGAGCCATCGTTCTTGGGTATCCCTCAAGATGTCTGGAGCATATGTAGTCAGTATTGAAGCTCTAAGGTGTCATTTCTGTGTTTTCATTTTATATGCTGTGCTTAACTAAAGGCTTATTTAGCAATTTATAGGATAAAATATAGACAAAGTAAGTAAATTGACATGAACCAGGCACAGATTATTTAAGATTGCTTTGGTCTACCAAGGTCAGTGCCAGACTAGCTAAAAAGGAATCCCTGGAAGGTTTGTTAAACTAGCAGGTTCCATGACCTCCCACACAAAATGAGGGGACTGGTCTAGGGTATGGCCCAGGTCCATATGCCTAAGACTTCCTGGGTTCATTTGATACCCACACAGGTTTGAGAACAGGGTATATATTGTACCTATTAGATCGAATAATGAACTGTTTTTTAAAATAAACCTCAGTTGTACCAGGGTCTGCACTGAAGATGATACAATTAAGACCCAGCTCAAATGGTTTTTGTTTATTTCAATGCAGTAAGCGTGTCATTTCTGTTTTGAAAACCTTCCATCAAGCTCCAATTATTTAGGAAGTACACAAAACATGAAATTGATTATATCATGTACTTGTCATCGTGATGTCCTTGGCGCAGCAGCGTTGACATTCCTTGAACTTGTTTAAAATGCAGTTTCTCAGACCCCACTCCAAACTGGCCAACTCAGAAGTTCTCAGAGAGGGACCTACCAACATGTGTTTTAAAAGATTCTTCTGAACCTGGACATAGTGCTGCACTTGTGTAATCCCAGCACTTGTGAGGAACAAACAAAAAAAGTCATGTCAGTGATTCAACTGCAGCCTCAAAGTTGACAGCCATTGATATATAAAACGGCATCTCTGATGACTTCAGCCTGAGTCTAGCGGGAGGTACACACAAGCAAACCACTCTATTCCTATAGCACCTATCATGGAAGTAAGCAAAGCAGGGCATGAAATCATCCCTGAGTTTAGAGGCCCTAACACTTGTGCTAGGCCCTTATGGGATCTATTAGTAGAAAGTAAAGGGTAAGAACATTCCAGAAATAGGGGAAAATATGTGCAAAGACATGAAGGGAAAAAGATAGATTTGAGAGAAAATTGGTGGTTGATAAAATTAGAATAAAAACTATATAGGAATGAGTAGAAGGCTAGACAACCAGCAAAAAGAGGCAGAGTTCAGACCTTGAGTTATAAGAATTACCTTGTAAGATTCAGCTAAAGAGTTCCATGTATATCCTCAAAGCTATAGAAAGCAATTGAAATACATAGTCAAGGATGAAAACTGTATTTGGGGGGAGTTTAGAGGTGGCCCATGTTAATTGAAGATTTGACATTGGATTAAACCATAGTGTGATTTTAGGGTAGGAAAATAGGTTGGGATAATATTTAAATTTAAATTAAAGGTGCTGTTGGTAACCAGGGTATTTTTAAGGCTGAATATGAATAATTCCTGGCCTCATAGCATTCACAATCTCCTAAAAACTTTAGACATTTTAATCATTCACAATATTGTGATTATATTGGTTGGGAGAGTAAGCACAAGATTTATCAAAATGAAAGAAGAAGTGGGTAGAAATTGAAGGAGAGGAAGAATAGCATGAGCACAAACACGGAACCCTGCAAGTACAAGGCGATCATAGAAAATGTCAAAAAGAGCAGTCCATCTCACTCATGAACTCCATGAAAGTATGTAGCAGAGGTGGCTCTGAAATGGCATTTGGATCCAGATACAGAAAGCTTTGAATTCAGACAAAAGGGGACAGGTTTAAAAGGGCATTTCTAGCAATGGAGAGGTAACAGGGAGCCTGGTGGACAGAAAGAGTAGATGAGTGATTCAGTGAGGCAAAGGAATATGAATTAAGCCAACTGTCTCAATGTCTACCCTTATAACCTTGCTAAAGAAGAGATTGCAAAAAAAGAAAGAGTAAATCACTACATAAAGGAAAGACCGAAATAGAGCTTTGGATTCCTGAAGAATTCACCCCACAAACAACAACAAAAGAAAAAGTGGGTGTTTAACTTGCAGAGTTTTAGAATAAGCTAAGATCTAACTAATTAGAGGTTAAAAGTAGAGATATAGTCAATCTTGATATCCAAACAGAATGATTTAACAGCATGCTTACGGCATGCTTTGTTTTTTATTTATTTTATTTTATTTTTCTTTTATTCACATGTGCATACATTGTTTGGGTCAATTCTCCTCCCTGCTCCCCTCCCCCACTGTCTCCCTCCTTCCCCCCTCAGTTCCAGGCAGGTCCTGATCTGCCTTTATCACTCGTTTTATTGAAGAAAAGAGACAAGCCTAATAAGAAAGACAAAGTGTTTTTGCTAGTTGAGTTGAGGATAGCTATACAGAAATATTCCTAGCATTGCATTCGTGTACAAAGCGTAATTATCTTTGTACATGGACCTTTCTTTTTATTGTTTAAATATGCTGTTTCCTGTCTTAGGCATTTTATATCCTACATCATTCTCAGTCCATTCTTTCTTTTTGTTTATTTTTATACCACTAATTTCATCATTAGTTAAAAAGGCACATTCATTTGCTCATTCATTCTCTCCCTCTTGTGTTACTTAGCTTTCTATTCCCGTGATAAATAACTTGGGAGGAAAAGTTTATTATGTCTCACAATTTTAGAAGTTTCAGTCCATGTTCAACAAAGTTGACTCCATTGTTTTCAGACCCATGGTGGCAAAGAAGATCTTCATGGCAGGGAGGCCAGCTCATCTCATGGTGGCCAGGGGCAGAGAGAGAGAGAGAGAGAGGGAGATACCAGGTTCTCAATATCCCCTCCAAGGACAGGCCTTCCCAATAGCCTAATTTCCTTCTACTAGGCCCTACTCCCTAACAATTCCACCACCTCTCACAGTGCCATAAGCTAGCTACCAAGCCTTTGGCGGATACTTCAGATCCAAACCATAATAATCCTCCAAAGAAGCCATGAAAAACATGTCTTCTTTCCAACTGTATCCCCAGAGTCTAAAATACTATCTGACCCAAAGGCAAAGAAAAAATTGCAAATCAGTGCATACAAAAGATAAGGACTAAATTGGCAGTTATGTAAAGAATGTCAGACACTTGGAAGAAAAGGTATGACTTGAAATCAGAGACACTGGAACTGGCCCTGAACTTGTCTGCAAAGAGGGAATGATCACTCAAGAGTTCTCCTGTGTTAGCCAGAGGTGAGAGTAGCTTAATGTGGCCAGCACAAGTTTCAGGCTTTGCTTTCATTCATTCATTCAGAACTATTTTTTGAAAAGCTCATCTAGTTATTATTAAGACACAGTGATATGTAAGACTCTTTTTATGGAATTCATGTTGTAGTGAGGGAGATATTTACTACACCAATAAACTAGTACTCAATTGCCCATAAAGTCTGGAAGCATGAAATAATTTATTGTCATACAATGTGTTTTCTATTCTCTGATATCACATGATACATCCAGTGTGTTGTCCTTCCTCAGCAATGCACAGTTCAGCAGCCATTGCATTTCCACTGGTCTCTGAGGCATGTGCATTTTTTATGCATTGATGTCTCTAGAGTTCATTAAATAATCTGTGTATTTAGAAATCCCAGAAGAAATAATTGAGCTAGGTCAAGCTATATAAAAAATAAAGGTTATCTGTGTCCTATAGTTTTTGGCCATCCCTTAGGACATAATTCAGATCAGCAAGTGCTGGGAAAGAGAACAAAATAATTACTGTAATAGTTAACAATTATGTGGCAGTACTGTGTGCCAGGCTGTGCTCCAAGCCATGTGTCCTTGACTTTATGATACATATCCACCACGCAGGGGTTCAGATGACACTGAGGGTTCTTCCAGTCAGTAGTTCCCAATAAAGATTGAGATAGTGCATTTCGAACAAGCTCCCGGGTATTGCTTATGCTACTGGTGAGTGGGCCACACTTTGAGTAGTGAGGAATAAAGCATTTACATGAGGCTAAACTACTTGCCCTGAGTTTCACAGCTTTTGCAGCTAGGATTCCACCACAGGCAGGTTGTCACCTGAAAGTGGTTTTCAATCACTGAGGATGGTTGCTTTTTTTAGATAAGTGGTCAAGGAACTGACCGTGAGCAGAAAATGGAGATAGGAAGCAAGCCAAAGGACTGGAGAAGAGCACATGGTAGAGGGAACAGCAAATGCAAAGGCTCAGAGATAATAAGATATTTGTACTTGGCAACATATTGAAGTGGTTCGTGAAGAGATTACAACAGGAGTGTCTAAAGTTTGCACTAACTCAGTGTTATTAAGAAAAGTGGGATTTCTAAAATATGATCTGTCTAGGACCTAGGATCTGTCATTGGTAGTTCAGGACTCAAATCTTAACTACACTATACTGTATTACCTTAGGTAAATCACTTACTGTCTCAGATCATTTGTGTTGCTATAACAAAATATACAAAACCTGGTGGTTTATAAACAAAAGAAATTCATGTCTCAGTTCTGAGAGCTAGGAAATCCAAGATCAAGTGGCTAGCAGATTGGTGTCACTGAGGGCTGACATTCTAGCTGACAATAACCACCCTTTTTTTTTTTTTGGCAGCACTGGGGTTTGAACTTAGGACTTCATGCTTGCTAAACAGATGCTCTTACTGCTTGAGCCTCTCTGCCAGCCCTTTTTTGTGATGAGTTTTTTGAGATAGGCTTTGTGAACTATTTGCCCAGGGCTGGCTTTGAGCCCTGATCCTCCTGATCTCTGCCTCCTAAGTAGCTAGGATTACAGGCGTGAGCCATTGGTGCCTAGCACAGTTACCACCTTTTTGCTGTGTCCTCACATGGAAGGCTAAACAAGCTCTCTTGGGGCTCTTTTGTAAGGGCACTGATCCTGTTTGAGAGGTTTCTGCCCGGTCATCTTACAAATTCCCCACCTCCTACTGCTAACACCCTAGAGATTAGGATTTCAACATTCAGACCATAGCACTTGTTCAATTTCCTATTTATTAACTTTTTAATAAACTTTATTAGAATGTATTCATTGTACAGGGGAGGATTCATAGTGACAATTCCTATTAGACTCATATTGTACATGGCCCCCATCATCTCTCTCCCTCAGTCCCCTTCCTGCCCCACTTAAAGCAATTTATGAAGTGTAAGATGATCATATACTGTCACCTTTATTTCTTTCATTCACCCTCACTCCCCCAACAGATACCCCGAACAGACTGTACCTATTTTACAGTCCTGTTCAATTTCCCATTTCTTTAAAAGATGATAAACACAGTTCATGTAGAGTTAGAATTAAATGAATAAAGCTTATAAACTGTCTAGAACATATCCAGATCTAAATGAATATAAACTTTTTAATATTTATATGAAATATATAAATGGTCAAAGATTAAAATTTTAATAGACCCAGTTAAGCTTATAGGTAGAATGTTGATTGAAAGAATATGAATGAGTGGAAAATATAAGGAACATAATAGGCAAAAATATGCTCCAGATGGAGAAATGGCAATATTTCTCTCTCATTGATTTTCCTCTTCTAGGCCAGGAATGAGTTTCATGTAGTTTTAAGACAAGCTATACATTCCAAAGAAAAGTTAAAGTCTGCTCTCTTCTTTTGAAACAGTCCATTAGGTTTTTCCTTCAAGGTGATAGTATCTTTTTTCTAGAAAAGTATTTCTTCTAAGTTCCCTTAAAACTCCTACTTCTTTGAATTTTGCAGAATTTCCATAGAATAAATTTGCTTATGTTTATGCTCACAAGGTACTCATTTGTATATGAATTCTGGAATTTGATAATAGTCCCAGTGCTATTTGGTGTGGAACACATGTTCACTAGTACATACTCAGCCCTCAGTGCAGTTAATGATGGGTGCTCCACCTTGATTTAACAGTCATTTTAATTTATCAGCTACTATCTTACTACTTTTCTTCACTTGGGTGAATTTCTTAAATGGGAAGGAGAAATTACCTGCATAGGCTCTAAAAAGAAAAATTCTCCAAGGATTGGCTGGGTAGTTTATAAAATTCTCATTTAGCCACATTGTCAACATGATGTACCTTGTTTGTGAAACTTTTGTTCAGACCACTCAGGAGAGGCAAGAATATACAGTTGGATAGGGTTTTACCCAAATGGCATTTTGATATCTAGTTCTTCTGCACTACAGAAAAAGAAGGAGGCTGTTGAAAGTGGCAAACGACAAATTGAGAACACCTTAAAAGAGGGCAATGACATACTTGATGAAGCCAGCCGACTTGCCGATGAAATCAACTCAGTCATAGATGTAAGTACTTGATAAAAACCCACAGTTAAGAGAGAGATGATAATGGCACAGGTTCTCATAAGCGAGACACAAGAAAAAAATCTCAGTAATAGAAGCAGATACTCATATTTATTTTCTTGTAGAGGTAAAATTATTTTTTCACTGTTCTCTTATGATATGCCCACTATCAGTGAGATTTGAACTTCACCTTGTTCTCCTGAGAGACGGGTGTTTGCTCACACACTCGCACAATCCTGTGCTTTTCTTGTCACAGTCACAAGGGGCATTCCATGTTCTGAGGGAAGCACTTACAATCTGTTTCAGTATCGTATAACATTAGTTAAAAGAGAAATGTAAATCTATAAACAGACTTTTAACTTACTGTCTAATGTATTTCACAGTGATATATTGTAATAGAAAAGAAAATGGTCTAAAAGATGCTAAATGACTGTCATTTATGCATTTATAGCTATGAAGTAACCTTTTTTAAATGACAGATTTTTCTTGGTGTAAATTGGCTTCATAAAGTTGTTAATCTTTTTCACTAAATAACACTATTCTCTTTTTTGTTATGCTAGTAAATTTAAAGTTTCGTAAAACCTAAGTATGTGTAATTATGTCTCATTGAGAATTCGTAAATTTAAGGGGACTTGAATTTACTTGCAGCTTTTTAATGTCCTCCCTTCTCTCTACATATTAGTATGTGCAAGACATTCAAACCAAATTGTCACCAATGTCTGAAGAGCTTAAAGATAAAATAGATGACCTCTCCCAAGAAATAAAGGACAGGAAGCTTGCTGAGAAGGTGTCCCAAGCTGAGAGTCATGCAGCTCAACTGAATGACTCATCTGCTGTCCTTGATGGGTATGTCATTTGTTGTTGGAAGTTTCTATGTTTCTTGACATTTGTCCAAAAGTTTTGACAAGCAGAAATGGTAGAGAAATCACTTTCAAATTTTGATTTCTGTAATTATGAACAAAAGAGCGAGATGGCCTTTTTATGGAATATCCTAATTAGAAGGTGGTAGGCAAAGCTCTACTGGAGAAGCATAAAAAGTCAAAGTTAAAAGTGGATTCAAATATGGCTTGTTAGGAAGTCATCGTAGCCTTAGGTTACCCTTAGAAAATTATTTTTTGTTCTTTATTGGAAAGCACAGTGGTTGGCTTTATTAGCATTTTAAATAATAATACATAAACACATTCTGCTTCAAATTTCAGTTTTATGTTTCTAATGGAATCAAAATAATTTATTGATAGAAGGTACCTTTTGAAAATGTAGCCCTAGACATAGACTTTTAGTCTTTTTCTCTATTTCAAACTCCAGGAAGATAATACATACTCCCCTTAGAAACAGCTGGTGATGGCTGAAATTAATACATGGGTCAAAAGCGAGAAGGGCAGGAGAAAATGGTGTATTTGACTGGGAAACAGCCTTCTAAGTATTAGTGATATGTTTCCCCTATACTTTTGTAATTATGATAAATACAGGAGTTATTGGACCAAGAATAATTTTCCCAAATAAGTCTATATTTAATATACACCACATGCAAGGCTATGTTTCCATACTTGATATTCACTGGTACAAGGAAAATGTTAATTGTTCAAAAACTCTGGGCATCACATTCACAATTCATTTTGTAACAACCTTTTTCTGATTTAGAATGAAGAGTGGTAGATACGGCAAAGAGCTAGCAGTCAGCAGAACCAGATTCCAATTACTTCATTAGGGATGTGTTAGTCATGTGAACTAAAGCAAGAGATTTGATTTTACCTCCTTAGATTTCTTTATCCTCTTTTGGGAAGTGCATGCACCCCAAAGAGATATGAAATTTATTCCATAAATGTGTATAAGTGCTCTGAAGCTTGCAGCATGCTTCACAAATAATGTGAAGGACTGTCTCACTGCACACACTAGCCTGGTGCACGTAGTTGTAGTGGCTCTTAGAAGAAGATATGTTATGTCCCAGTCTATGAGGCCAGAACTATGTGATAGATTTCACAGGAAAGCAAGAATTGAAGAAGAAGCAGATTTATTAAAGGGCCTGATATTAAGAAGTATTGGCCCAGAATGAGATTAGGGCGATGGCTGATAAACATATTGACATCCTGGTTTTTTTGGTTTAGCTAGTGTTCCAGGGAGCAGCTGGGATAATTAGTTTGTCAATGACTGACAAGGTTTTTTGCTAGCTTGTATAATCTTCTCTATGACATCATAAGGTCAAATACATTGGTATTGTTCCATTTGAATTCAGAAAAACAGTTTCTGCAAAACAAAGTAAAACAGCCTTCCTGCCAGACAAGACAGAGTCCTTTATAAAATGGAGTAGGTTAGGCTAACTTGAGTTGGAGCCTTTTGTCTTACACATTTTTAATTATTCTTTTATTAGAATACATTAATATACGAGAGGATTTCACTGGATGTTATGCTTTTTTTTCATTTATTCATATGTGCATACAATGTTTGGGTCATTTCTTTCCCTACCCCTTTCCCCTCCCTCCCCCCACCACCCCTTACCTCTCCCTCCCACCCCCTCGCTTCCAGGCAGAATCTGTTTTGCCCTTATCTCTAATTTTGTTGAAGACAGAGTATAAACAATAATAAGAAAGATAAGGATAGCTATACAGGGAGATTCCTAGCATTGCTTCCTTGTACATATGTGTTACATTCTAAGTTGATTCTTCTAGAGCTGACCTTTTCTGTAGTTCCTGGTCCCCTTCTCCTATTGACCTCTGTCGCTTTAAAGTTTCTGCATTAGTTCCTTTGCATTGAAGACATCAAATACTATCATGTTTTTGGGTTTCTACCTATCCCCATACCTCCCTTGTGTGCTCTCGCCTTATCATGTGACCAAAGTCCAATCATCTTGCTGCATTTGCCCTTGATCTAATGTCCACATATGAGGGAGAACATACAATTATTGGTCTTCTGAGCCTGACTAAGCTCACTCAGGATGATGTTCTCCAGTTCCATCCATTTACTTGCGAATGATAAGATTTCATTCTTCTTCATGGCTGAGTAGTATTCCATTGTGTATAAATACATTTTCTTAATCCATTCATCAATAGCGGGGCATCTTGGTTGTTTCCATAACTTGACTATTGTGAATAGCACTGCAATAAACGTGGGTGTGCAGGTGCCTCTGGAGTAACCTATGTCACAATCCTTTGGGTATATCCTTAGGAGTGGGATTGCTGGATCATATGGCAGATCTATGTTTAGATTTTTAAGAAGCCTTCAAAACTTTTTCCAGAGTGGTTGTACTAGCTTACATTCCCACCAGCAGTGTAAGAGGGTTCCTTTTTCCTCACATCCTCGCCAACACCTGTTGTTGGTGGTGTTGCTAATGATGGCTATTCTAACAGGGGTGAGGTGGAATCTTAGTGTGTTTTTGATTTGCATTTCCTTTATGTCTAGAGATGGTGAACATTTTTCATGTGTTTTTTGACCATTTGAATTTCTTCTTTTGAGAAAGTTCTGTGATGTTATGCATTTTAAGACATGTTGGTAGTATTATATACCTGAATTACTTTAGGAATATGAGTTTAAATAGAAAACACAGTACAATAAGTAGCTATCTCATGATAATTTTGGATGATCCTAATTGTATTGGCCATAATCATTTGACAGTCATTTTTGTTGTAACTATATTATTTGAGTGCTAACTGTTTTTTTTTTTTTTGGTTCAATCCAACAGAATCCTTGATGAAGCTAAAAACATCTCCTTCAATGCCACTGCAGCCTTCAAAGCTTACAGCAATATTAAAGACTATATTGATGAAGCTGAGAAAGTTGCCCAAGAAGCCAAAGCTCTCGCACATGAAGCTACAAAGCTGGTAAGAAATGAATAGCATTATGTGCTGAGAATGGAAGTCAATCTTTCTTGAGTAAATTCCTAAGCTAAATTTTTCAAATTTAAGTGAGCTCTAAAAACATCCTAGTAAATTAGAATACCTATCTTGAATTATTTTTGAAGTCCTCTTTTAAGTTTTGTCACAATAAATCCTCAATATGCTGTAGACATAACAGAACTCTCTTCACAGTCACCTACTACTTATCATTTCAGGGTCTTGAAAATCTTGCCAATGCTGAGCAGATATGTGCCATAGCTCACAAACCAAAAACAGGCAAATAGAATACTCTAGAGAGAGAAATTAATCACCATGAATCCAAATGTCGTCAGTAAAAAGAAGTACCTTGAAAATTAACACCATTGCTTACAGTCACACTCATGTTTGTTAATGGAGTTTGACTATTAAGTGTACTTTTTACAAAACGAATCATAGGCTTCTTAGCCATTTATACTATCTTTATGAATTGAAAATCCCTTAACCTTTGGTGGTGGTCATTGTGCAAAAAGCAGGTGGAACTAATATTTCAAAGTTTGGGGCTTCCAAGTTATATTATTGGAGTATGTTTAATATTGAAAACTCTTCATATGTTATAGCAGAGCAACATTTTGTAAATAATGTGATAAACCTTGATAATGCTACTTTCGGTCAAAAAAACATATCAAAGGAAGCACATTGTGAATTTAGATGTTAAGAACCATCATTTCAGACATTTTATTTCACACAGAATATCCAAATACATCAGAAATTGGGGGTGGGAGGAATCTATGATTGAATATTTGATTGTGAATGAAGTATGTATAGATCTTAGTAGTAAAGAAACAGATGGGTTTGTTGCTTTGATATTGGACAAAAATATATTTTTGGATCTGAGTGACATTAGAGACAATTATTATAATCTTGGGGGCTGGTTCTTTCATGGTTGTAATGAAGACATCATATTTCATCTAGAATTACTACCATTTTTGTTTTTTCTGGAAAGAGCTCAACTAATGTCATATGCTCTATTCATTTCTTACTCAAACTTGTGACAAAATCATTGCAGAAATTTTCCTATGCTCAGTTATCAAAATAAATGGTTTTCAACTCTAACCTAGGATTTAATACATTTTCTTTGTGTGTGTGTGTGGTACTAGGGCTTGAACTCAAGGCCTACACCTTGATCCACTCCACCAGCCCTTTTTTGTGATAGAGTTTTTTGAGATAGGGTCTCGCAAACTATTTGCCAGAACTGGCTTTGAACTGTAATCCTCTTGATTTCTGCCTCCTGAGTTGCTAGAATTACAGGTGTGATCCGCCAGCACAATGCATTTTCTTATGGAGAGTATTATGTTTTTAAAGACTCTAATTTTCAAGTTCACCATTTTCACCTAATCTGTATTTTAGTGTCAGCCATTTTCATCACTTAGCACAGAGTCTGGCAAATAGTGGAAACACAGAGTAAACAAAGGAATTAACTTCATTATGAATTTATGCATATTATACATGTCAGTACAAATCTTGCAATTGCCATGGCTGCATCTTTATAAATTTCTTCTGACACTGTGTTACAGATCTATTCAATTTCACCCACATCTAATATTCTTACTTTACATATAGGAAACTCCCTTTTTTATGCTAATATGAATTATGTACTTCCTCCTCCTTACCACAATGCTTCCACCTAACGGTCTAACCACCCTTAAACATAGAGCTGTAGTTAGTTCTCAAACTTTCCAACATGCCCTCTGTTACTGTTATTCCTTTTCTTTTTCTACAAACTGGGTAAAAATAACTAAATGTCTCTGAAGAAGTATGAGGTAAGTGCTAAAGAAATCACTGTTTTATTAAATGGCTATAAGCAAGTACAAAGAATACTGATTTGTCACTGAAAGTGTTTTGGAGAATGTTTTATGAACAGAATGAATAAAGCTTTAATTTTAAGAGGCCTTTATACTATAGTTACATTTTTCTGTAAATATATTCACCAAATATTCAGTTGAGCAATTATCTACCATCCCATAAATAAAGATCTGTTATTATTGTATTGTTAGAGCTATAGATAAACACTGAAGGATGAGATTAAGTTTATTATTTATCTATAAAAGAATTCAAAGGATAACAATACAGAAGAGTCCTCTAATCATTTGAGTCTAGAAAGAAGATGAATGTTTATAATGAATTAGAAAGAAAAATCAAAGGAACAAAGTGCACATTTGCAGGAGAGACAAAAAGACCAATTAGACAAGTAATAAAACAACCAAGTACTACTGTGAAAACAGAGGAGGGGAAAAAAAAACATTGAAAATACCATAGGAAAGGAACAAATGAATGCTAGAAATAACCTCTAAGCAAAAATTGATTGACATAGCATTTTAAAAGCAACTTTGTTTTCAAAGACGATTTACTTAATTCTATTTATTAACACATACAGATAATCAAGAATGGAATGAAAGGAAAATACAAGAAGGGAGAGTTTATATCAATCTAAATTTGTAATACAGTGTTCTTAGCTGAAGAATATCTGCTGCTTTTCTTCCATAGTACTGGGGATTGAGTTCAGGGTCTTATACTTGTTAGGTATGTGCTCTACCACTGAGTCACACCCTCAGCACTTTTTGCTTATATTTTTGAAATAGGGTATCATTTTATGTCTGAGTCAGCCTGGACTATAAACCTCCTATTTGTGTTTCCTTGCATAACTGGAATGACAGGCATGTGCCATAGCACCCACTCATTGATTGAGATAGACCTCACAAACTTTTTACCACAGATGGCCTGGAACCATGATCCTCTCAATACTACTCCTAAGTAGTTAAGATTACAGGCTTAAGTCCCCATATGCAGCCCTCCCATAGATAATTTCTTTAAATATCAAGGTGAAATATATTCTAAAAACTGAGATACTGTGGAAATACTGAAACTACCTTTCTATTCGTGTCAGGTTGGAAATGTACTACATAGCATTTGCTTCCCTACATACAACCTCCACAAACAATATTAGAATTTCCCTTGGTGAGTGCAAGGAAAAAGAGAAAATAATTATGTCCCTTTAGAGGTAATGGGGTATGGAGATCAATAATTTTGTTCTAATATTAATTGGTTGCATGCTATAAAGAGACCCTAAAACATAAGAGAATTAAATTTTTTTAAATTTTTTTTCCCTTTTTCTTTTATTATTCATATGTGCATACAAGGCTTGGGTCATTTCTCCCCCCTGCCCCACCCCCTCCCTTACCACCCACTCCGCCCCCTCCCTCTCTGCCCCCCTCAATACCCAGCAGAAACTATTTTGCCCTTATCTCTAATTTTGTTGTAGAGAGAGTATAAGCAATAATAAGAAGGAACAAGGGTTTTTGCTGGTTGAGATAAGGATAGCTATACAGGGCATTGACTCACATTGATTTCCTGTGTGTGGGTGTTACCTTCTAGGTTAATTCTTTTTGATCTAACCTTTTCTCTAGTTCCTGTTCCCCTTTTCCTATTGGCCTCAATTGCTTTTAAGGTATCTGCTTTAGTAAGAGAATTAAATATTTTTAAATTTTCCAAATAATAGGTCAACCTTAAATCTATATTATTAGGCTAAATCAGATTTTAGAATTTGATAAACAAATAGATTTCATATGCTAGCTGAACATGATGGCACATACCTGTAGCTACTCAGGAGGCTGAGACAGGAGGATTGAGAGTTCAAGGCAGGCCAGCATGGGTTACATAGGGAGACACTATTTCCAAAAAAAAAAAAAAATTCATATGGTCTCCAGAGGAAATAACCCCTGTTTCAGTGGCACTTGGGAATGAGATCCTCTTCTATCCTTTTCCACTGGAAAAGTATTAGGTTCTATGCCTTGGAATCTGTTACATCCAAACAACAAACAACAAAAAAGAAGGGTATAATAGAATAAATTCCACAGTTCTGGTTCTTAAAATTAATAATCATCACACATTCTCCACCTACTATGAAATGTCACCTTCTTTCCTTCCCCCTTCTCTCCTTCCTTTCTCCAAGGCAATGGAATATGAGCTTTTTTGGTTTGTATTCTTTCACCTGCAAAATCTAGGCAGTCTCCAACTTCTCTAGGTATCTTTCAATCAAAAAAACGAATCACCTTTTACTTCCCTTGGTAACTGAAGAGTTACTCTTTCTTGTCTGCTCCACTGCAGTTATTGTCATTATCTGAAACATTCTCTCATTATCTCTGTCTTTCTTTCTAACACACCCATCCACAATTGTCCCTTTATACCCTCTAGTCCTGACCCGTATCTCAGTTTGTCTCTGTGTTTAGTTAGGCCTTCATTTGGAAGACCTACTGGCTATATTACTTGGGGTTCTTCAGAGAAACAGAACAAGTACGAATAAAAAAATAGATGAGGGAGGGAGAGAGAGAGAGAGAGGTAGATAGATAAATAGATAACATTAGTTGACTGATTTTTGAAGAATTAGCTCATTTTCTTAGGGAGGATGAGAAGTCACACAATTTGCCTGCTGGAGACTCACAAATGCCAGTGATCTAGTTCCATTCTAGTTCAAATGCCCAAGAACCAGAGGAAGCCATTATCCCAGTGTGAAGGCCAGAAAAGATGACATCAGATGTTCTAACTCAATTTGTATGGCAGGAAAAAATCTGCCTCAATCTTTGGTAACAGCCTCTCAGTAGATTGATTAGATGTTCAACCACATTGGAGAGGGCCAAATGTTTTACTCTGATTTAGAGACATCCTCATAGACACGCCCTGTCAGAATGTTTAATCTGTATACCTATGGACAGTCAGGTTGACCCATAAAATCAGCCATTACACTGGCCTTTAGCTCCAGTATACGATGTGGTCTTCCTGTGTATTCTTCAAATGCAGGTGTTTTCATCTGCCACACAATAGCCCATATTTCTTGGGAGCCATGATTAAAAAAGAAATCTTTGTTAAGTTCTTACCCAGGCATTTTTAGGAAAAAATTATAAAATACAGAGGAAAGAGAGGGCAGTTTGAAAATATGTTTCTTTCATAGA